TTGATGTTTTACAATATTTTATTTTTGACTTTCTGCTTCAGTAACTCAATCAGCTCATTTATAATTTGAAAAGAAAAGAAGAACATTTCAAAGTGCGAAATTGCTATTGTTACAGAGCAAAGTTGCATAAATTATTTTCAAGGTGTCTTTTCCCTTTTTCATCTCTACATATCTTTTTCTCTCAAAATATCAAAATCCATGCTCTTTCTTTCTTCAAATTTTTTTTTGGGAGTTTTTCAATCAGAATAGCATCTTTGGTGTTTATAGCTGTTTCTATGTTCAAGAATTTTTGGGTTTAGTTTTTTCCGTTTACAAAATCTTTTTGATATTTTTAAAAAATTGTTAATTTTTTTAGTTGAAAATAAAAAACAGCAAAAATGAGCATTTATGAGCAGTCATGGCGCAGTGGTAGCGCACTTGCCTCAGAAACAAAGGATCCGTGATTCAAACCCCACCTCTGGGTAAGTTATGGGACATTGGTTAGGAAAGAAGCGTGAACTTCCAATTAAATGCTCGTCCGCGGTGCTCTGTGATAAAATCGTAAAGACTTACCAAAATAGAACAAAAAAAGAAAAACAATAAAACAAACAAATAATAAATGTTTTTATTGCTGTACCGTAAACAAATTTTTTACCATTTGGATAAATTTTTTTAATACCATATTTTGCTGAAGTGTCACATTCTCTTGTTAAAATCACACAGCATTTTTCGGAAAAATTCTTTTCTTTCTTGTTCTGGCTAATGCTGAATTAAAAGGCATCTTATTTAGTCCGTTACTTCCCTGTGTTGAAGATTTTTTCTTGAGATCAGTGGAATATCTGATATTTCTGAATGAAGTTGATTGTCATCTAATTGTCATCTTAATTGTCATCTTGTTTAGAAAATTAGAAATAAAACTCTATTTTACTTATACAACTGCTTATACTTTTTTGGAATAATGGATCAATGCTAGATCTGGCAAAAATAAGGTTTGTTGTTTGTGCTTTTATATTGGGGGAAGAAATAATTTTTCTTAGCATTCAGCCACATAAAGATCTGGTGATGGTCAAAGATTGATTTCTGATAAAAAAAGAGCTTTAAAAACCACAACTGCATATTTGCAGTTGTGGTTGCCTGCCATACAATGAACTTAAACTTTATAAAATCTCAAAAGCTTTATAAAATTTCAACTGATAATAGTATTGATTACCTGGAAGCATCAAGAGATTTTTTTTACACAAAATTTCATTGTCTTCTAAAATGCATAAAACTTTTTTCGTAATTAGTTTAAGCAAGTTTTTAACTTGCCCAACTGCCTAGTTTTCTCTATCAAGCGACCTTTTTGGTATTTTTTTCTTAATATGCTTTCATGTTTTCCTTTTTGAATACTCTTTGAATAAAAGATCTACTTCATTTAAACTTCGAAGTAAAACCTTGTTGTGATTGAGTCGTATTTCGATGAATTGAGGCGACTATTGGTTTTGCCTTATTTTTGGAAGTAAATCTTGGTTTTCCACCATTTCCTGATTTTCTTTTTACGGTTTGTGTTCCCTATAATGTTTTAGAACAATTGCAACAGTTGATTTTACAACTTTTTTGAAATCGTAGAATATGAGAACAAAGGATTTTCTATTAAAAATTTTAACTTTTTTTTTTCAATTTTTAGGTTGTTTACTCGACATTGCAAAAATTAATAAGAAGTGATCAAAACTACACCCACTCATAAAAAACTAATTATGTAAGCATCGTTATAAAAAAAATTATTACATTTGACCAAGTAGTTTTTTAGTAAAATTTGGACAATTTAAAACTGTCCAAATTTTACTCAATCATGGTGATAACAGGATGCTCATTTCAAAGTTGCTCTTTAGTTTTCTCTAAAACAATATCTTGTTTTGGTGAAGTTGAGGTATGATCAATAGATCCTCAATGTTTACTATATTTTGATTAAGCAATTTTGCAATAATATTGCTTTCACCATAATTTTTATATTCTTGTGGGGTTGCTGCTTGTTTATTTAAAGTACAACATTTTACATTTTATAAAACTTAATTTGTTAACTTAAGAGTTAAAGTTTTAACTGTCATATCTAAATCTAAAGTAAAGGTTCATTTAGATCCATTATTGAAGATTCATATCTCAAATCTACTGAACTGAAAGTATCATAAACATGTTTCTTTAAATTTAGTTCTTTGTTTAACCCTTCCTTAATATTTTGATTTACTTTTAAAAGATGAGTTTTCTGGATCTACTTGAGAAATTGTTAAGTTTTCAGTTTTAACTTTGCTCCTTGCCGATTTAACTTTAATATGACATAGAGGGACCGTTGAAATGGAGCCTGATTTTATTATTTTATGTCATTTCTTTATCACTTGTGTGCAAATTAATTCTAAAATTGTTGTCTTTGTATCCGTGTAATGCTTTAGGTAGAAGGATAACTAAAACATGGCAGGAAAGTCCGTTAAGACCAACTAGACATTCCAATAACCATTTACAAAGTCATGATCGACGATACGAGTTTTGAAGTAGCGGGGTACAATCGTCTATTTTTATCAAAAAACCTCTTTATTTAGAATTTTCTCTCAAACAAAAAAATAAAATAAAAAAAATAAAGAATCCTTTAGAAAAGGATTAGAAAAAAAGTAGATGACACTCCCCCCCCCCCCCCGCGTCGTCGGACCTGGGAGTGTCTCTCCTGCATAAAATAAAATATCACGTTGTGCATCATGGCTGTAAGATTTTTTTATAAAGGCTCTTGCATATACTCTATTGATTTCTAAATGTGTTTTAACAAATATAATTTTTCTGCTTGTTAACATCTTGTATGCATTTTGCTGTTATTCAAATGTACCTTCTTTTTTATTGAGAATGTATTCTTTGAAAAAGATATGTAAAGAAAAAAGAAAAGAATTTATTATTCCAAAAATGTTTACATATCGATATATAAAATTATTTTATCAGCATTATTCACAGTTAGTTCAATTTGCATGAATGTAAAATTTGCCGGTTTGAAAATCACGATTTCCGCGTAATCACAGGCATAAAATGTAAATGAAATGTGTTAAGAATCGCAATTAGGTTAAGAATTTTTTGTTTTAATTAGTAGAATTTTTTGCCTCAAGCGAAACGGGGAAAGAGCCTCCGTCCACCAATACTTATGGGGTCTTTTTTTTTCAGGGTGTTGCGTTTAATGGTTTTGTGAACGCTAGACGTTCAATAAAAAATTCGAAGTCTATTCTACGGTCTACTATATTCTATTTTATTAAATACTGCATGTCAATAATATTTTAAATGCTTGCCGAAGTTTAGTAAATTGCATTGTAAAATATTTAGCACCATAAAACACGGGTTATCGCAAGTTATGGCAATAATTCTTTTCTAACTAAAAGAAAAGTTTTTTCTTTTCTTTTTGAATATTTTACAATAATATTACTATTATAATTATCTCAATAATATAATAAAATGTTTACAAGGTTTATTAAGTCTGTAAGAGGAGGAACGAGAAATCTCGTAAAAGCCTTTTAGGTCTTGTTGTCTAGACCCGGTTTACTTTTTAGCTATATCGTTAAGTTTATTGTGTTTATATATATCGCTTAGCTATATCGTTAAGTTTATTGTGTGTGTATATATATATATATATATATATATATATATATATATATATATATATATATATATATATATATATATATATATATATATATATATATATATATATATATATATATATATATATATATATAGTATATATATATATATATATATATATATATATATATATATATATATAATATATATATATATATATATATATATATATATATATATATATATATATATATATATATATATATATATATATATATATATATATATATATATATAAATTAGTAGAAAATCACTTTACAAAATTATTTTTTCATTTTACACTGTGTTTCATCAACAAAGACTAATCAGAAATGAATTATCAAATTAATAAAACTTCAATTTATATCAAAAAAATAAATTACAGGAAGTCGCAAATGTTTTAACTACTGTAAATTTTCACACATTTGTGGAATTTGCTGACACTATTATAAAAAGAATTCTTTAGAAATTACTTAGGCTTTTTTTATAAAAATATTTTAAAAAAAGGGGGGATTTAATGTAACTATTATTTGAGCTCACTTATTTTTAAAGTTTTTTAGGAGAAACTTATTTTCGTGCCTGCATTTAGAAATCAATTCCGATTTTTTGTTTAACAAACATTCTTGGTTTGCAAGTGTAATTATTTCAAATTTTTCTTCTAGACATAGTATGCATTTTTTGGAAATATTGATTAATGCAGGCGCTGTTTTAAAGGATGGACCAATTCAGTATAAAATCATCAATATTTTTATCTTTTAGTTCCCATATATATGTTGACAGCATGGTGTCTTTTGAATAGTTTTTGTTTTTAAAAGATTGCCTATGATTGGCAAAACGTTTTTTCCATGTGTGTGTGTTTAAATTGCTGAACTACTATATATATATATATATATATATATATATATATATATATATATATATATATATATATATATATATATATATATATATATATATATATATATATATATATATATATATATATATATATATATATATATATATATATATATATATATATATATATATAATTATTATAGATTTTACTGATTAACAATTTAAACTTTTAAACTAAAAACGAAAAAAAGTAATCTTTTACACAATTTTTTAACTATAATTTTTTATTCGATGTTTTTTTAAAAACGATTATTATTTTTGGAATTTTTATATAATTTTGCAATCTAAGAAGAAATACTTTTAAAAACTTTATTTTTTAAAATAATATTAGGAACCCATTAAATGTTCAAGGGTCTTGAAACTCCCTTAAAAATATTTTAAGAGCGATATTGTTTTTAGGTTGTTAAATTTATTTGGAACAATTTTTTTAAATACCTAAGTTATTAAAAATTTTCTTTTTCAAAGAACAAGTTAAGACGCTTAACCACAAAAGGAAATTTAAGAGAGAAAATATTTTTAAATTTATTTACAAGATAATTTGTGGACCTTTTGAAAACACTAAAATTACGCTTGCTAAAATTACAGTTATAAATACCAAGAAACAAATGTTATCAATGGATTTAACTACATTTTCCCAGTCTTTACGTACTTCGTCATCCTTAGCAAACCTATCAAAAAAGTCGCTAATGTTTTTTAAATAGCATATTTTCTCAGGGGAACTGAAAGTAGTATCTTGCACAGAATTTTGTTCCGTTTCCTCTATATTTACAGTTTCATTTTGGTTAAAACCTGTATGTAACAAAGGTGTGGCATTTAATTTGTTATTTTCTCTTTCCATATTCTTATTGTGATGTTCTGAATCTTTATGATGAAATTTTGCAGATAGCATAGAACGTAAAATACTGTATAATTTTTTCCAATGGTTTTGAAGAAAAACAGTACGCACCCAACTTGGAACCGGGTTTGTTTTTACAACCAATGAAATCACAACGCAATTTGCCATTAAAGCAAGTCCGATTTCAGTAACCAAGATGGTGTAAAATCTGTGCAATAAAATTTTAAAAAAATTATTCTTTTTTACATTAACAGTCTTTTCCGTTTGAAAATTAAATCTAGCGCACAAAGATGCGCTGGAAGGAACGGCATTTTTAAGTTAGCATGCGCGATTTCAAAAATTCTTTTTTTTCTACGATTTAAATTAAAATTAAAATAGCACAAATAAAACTTTGAATAAATACAAGATAAAATAATTTTAAAAAATACTGGTAAAAAATTTCTTTTTTCATAAAAGTTGAACAAATTAACATAAAAGTTTTGGCAAGCGCTTTTTTATGCGCTTGCCAAAGTTTTCGCGGGCGTGTGGGTGAGTGCGAAAAGACTTAAGCGCGAAGGCGATAGCTAAATGGAGAAGACTGCATTTGGTAAAAAAAAAACTATGAATATTCAAAAAGATTTATAAGTTCTTTAAAAATAATATAAATTACGGCTTAGCTAATTATGCAAAAATCATGTGTAAAAAAAAGAGAAAATATATCTAAAATTAAAAAGAAAATAAATTAAAGAAAAGAGATTTTAATTGATAACAAAACTTACTTGACAAGTAGAGGAACAGTGTCGGAACTTGGTGGTACAGAATCCGAAACTATAAGTATGTAAACTGACAACGATAGAAAGTTAGTTATAACTAATCCAGTTCTTTCGCCAGACATTGGCGGAAGAAAAAATGAAAAACACGATAGCAATGCAATTAAAACTCCAGGAAGAATAAGGTTAAAGAGATAAAACTTGGCTCGTCGGCGTAGCGTAACATTATATGTCAACACTGCGTATGGCGTTTTACAACACGGATACAATAAAGACTTACGTGAGGCTTTAAAATCTAAAAGAAGTTAACTATATAGTTATTATTATTATTATATTATTATTATAATAATATTATTATAAATAAAAAAAAGGTTTTACTAAAAGTATATTATAGAAATAATTATTTTTTTATAAAATTTACTATTCTAAATATGAATTTTTTTACATTTGAATATTTTTAACATTTTTACTTGCGGTTTAGCATCGCATTATTTACTATACGACTATTTTTTCAATGTGTAAAAGTTGAATCCAGTAAGTAAGCTTTTAATCATTAAAAAAATAATTATTATGAATACTTTTTAGTCGTATTGATTTTACTAATTTTATTTTGGAAACATCATGATATTATAATAAAAATAATTATGATAAATTATGATATTATAATTTTAACCATAGTTAAAATCTTAACTAAAGTTGTGTTTTAATTACAGCTAAATATAGTATGCGTAAGCGAAATATAGTATATCAGCTCACACCTAGATAAATTTAATATAAGTATATTTTTAAATTGCAAAATTCAATAAGTGTATACTCTTACTCGCATCGTTTCTTTATAATGAAAACATGGCTGCAGTTAATTTGCTTGAGATGCTTCCAAAACATAACTTCTGTTGAGACCATCAAGTCAAAAACTGATGCTGCTTCATTTTTTACTTGTTAACTCATTTTGAAATAAATTTAAGAAATAGAAGTCATTTTTTTTGGAATATTAAAAAAAATATTTTAATGGGGCTTTGATCTAAAAACTTTTATATTAGGTTTTAGTTTTTGACATATTTTTGTGGTTTTATTTGAATTAGTTTTGAAATTTAAGTAATAAAAATTTAACAAAGTTAAAGTGTGAATAAAATAAAAGACCGCAGACAAGACATAGTATACCGCACATAGATAATCAATATGTGCGGTATACTATGTCTTGTCTGCAGTCTTTTATTTTATTCAAATTTTAACTTTGTATACCAACATAGTATACTAGGTATAGTTGATAAATTAAAATTAGTATCTGTAGGATTTATTTTTTTTTTGTAATAAATAAAACTCTCAAAAGTTGTATGTTTTTTGTTAATCTATTCCTATGTTTTGTTACTTTAGCACCATAAACATTTTTTTATATATAAATTCATTTTCGGTTGATTTTTTTTAAAATTTTGACAAATAGAGTTAAATCCTTTTCGAAAAAACAAATTCAATTACATTGAAAAAACTCAAAACAATTTTTGACTAATTTCTTACAATATTTGTTACACTTTGTTAAAACGTTTGTTTTTTTTTTTTTTTTTTTTTTTTTTTTTTTAAAAAAAAGTATTAATTAGTTGCATATATCCAAGCATTGCCTTTCAAATGCTGAGCGTTTTATTTTAAATGATCTAGCAGCTCCGACACATTAATTATTTTTTCACTGTGCCGAAAAAAAAGAATACGGAAGACCTTTTGGGGGAAATGCTTTTTTAATTCGTAAAAGCTTACCGTTGTCTCTTCAAGTAATACACAAAGATGAACACATTCTTGCAATAAAAGGTTCATTTGGCGACAGTGTTTTTATTTTTATTGGAGTTTATCTTACTTCATGCAGAAATACTTCTGAATCCCTAGAAAAATATATTTCTCAACTTAGTTTGATAAACTCCATCATTAACACATATGAAGATGAAGGAGAATGTATAATTGCCGCGATTTTCGGTCATTTCAAGAAAATATATATGATACGGAAATCCGAAAAAATAAAACACAAAATAACTTTTCTAAGTATTTGTCCAATTTTCTTGAATTAAATGAGCTCTTTTTTTTGGACATAATTAATGGTACTGGTCCAACCTATACCTATAAACATAAAACGCTGAATAATTCATCTTATATCGATCACATTGCAGTACTAAAAGAATCATCAATATGCTTTACTGGCTGCCATGTTATTCCTACTTCGCATCTAGACATGAGCGATCACTTACCCATCACTACAAATATTAATCTTCAAAATAAAAGTCTAACACCAGTTTTAAATAGTATTCTTAAAAAATATAATACAATCCCAAAGTATGCATGGAATGATGATAACTTTATTAAAATTTATAATCAGAATCTTTTCGATTTTTTCAAAGATTACACTGTTATTGGAGAAGAAATAGAGAAACGATATCAAACAACATGTGAAAAAATAAACAACGCTGCTATTTTAGCAATGGAAGACTGTTTTCCACAAAAAGAATCAGGAGCTTACTCTAAATCATGGTGGACACCAGAAATTAAATCGTGCAAAGATATTCTCTCTTTCCACTTTAAAGAATGGAAAGAAGATAACTTTAGTAGATCGCAGGAATGCAGTATATTTAACAAGTACAAGCTAGTTCGGAAAAATTTTCGCAAAATTGTAAAAGCGGCTCACAACTTAAAAATTAATAAAATCACTAAAAATATTGAATCTCTTCGAAAAAGTAATCCACAAAAGTTTTGGAACAATATCCGAAAATTTAAATCAAATCCTAGCACTCGTATTTTTACTATTAATAAAAAACAAGATAAAAAAGAAATTGTAGAAAAATTTAGACAAAACTTTAGTACCATTCTCAACACTCCCACAATTACCAACAACAACAACAAATACCGTCGTATTCCACAACTCATTGATGAGCCTAATAACATCCGACATCGAAACTTGTATTCTTAAGCTTAGATTTAATAGATCACGTGATTCCTGCGGAATTACTGCAGAACATATTTAAATACTCCTATAACAACAATCTACTTACATGGCTTTCAAAGTTTTAGAACAATATCTTCAATAATTTAAATAACATCTATAATTGTTCAAATAGTGAAATCCTATAAAAAATCTCTTGATAATCCCGATAACTATCGCGGAATTAGTATCGTTCCAATTCTGACAAAGCTCTTTGAATATATTATTATGGAAAAATGTCCGGAAATATCAGATAGCCACTCTCACCAATTTGGCTTCAAACATAATAGCTCTACTCTTCATGCAGAGTTTCTTTTAAGTGAAACAATAAAACATTACAATAACAATAATTCATCAATATATATTTGTAGTTTAGATGCAAATAAGGCTTTCGATAGCTGTAACTGGGAATTGTTGTTTGAAAAACTTTATTACAACAAAAAATTATCGCTATCAGTAGTTCGCGCACTACAATCACTATACCTATCGGGTACTGCTAGTATATCATACCTTGGGCATAAATCAAATCATTTCCGTTTGTCTCAAGGCGTGCAACAAGGATCCATTTTATCACCACATTTATATAATTTATATACTCAAAGTATATTAAATCAAATTGTTTCAGATTGCAAAGTTGGAACAACGATAAGTGGGGTGTACACCGGTATCATAACTTATGCAGACGATATAATCCTACTAAAACCTACTCTTTCTGGTTTACAAGAATTGGTTAATAAAGTTCAGTCACAATGCCAAAACCTATATAACAAACTAAACACTGAAAAAACCGAGTTTATTATATCCGGTAAAAGCTCAATTACAAAAAATTCAATTCAAATAAACGGCTTTTCCCTACACCTCAAGAATAAACTGAAAATTCTCGGATTCCTATGGGATAATTAAAATAATACAAAAAATATAGCAACACTTCAAACATTAAATGTAAACGAACGTATTATTTAGTTTCAATCAATACCCAGAGCTCTTACAAAATCGGGTATTCGTTTTTGTCAACCATTAACCATAGTACACTTGTTCAAATCACTGGCTGTACCGAATTTATCATACGGGTTATAAATTTGTTGTTACAATAATTCACTTCTTAATAAACTAGACGCTGTTGGAAGGTCAGCATTAAAATTCCTATTTAGTATATCGAAGTACAGCAAAAACTACCTACATCCCTTCTTTAAAATTGATGACATATCTACCTTCCTCATTCGAAACAAATTAAATCTGTTTATCAGACTACTGAACAATCCAACTTGTTTTTCCCTGATTTTGGCTCAGATATCTGATATTACTAAAGATAACCTATTTATCAACGAAGTAATAAAAATTTGCAATCAACTTGAGCTAAACTTCGTGCAGTGTTTGATAGAGGGGAAAAAAATAACGGTGAAACGTTGCTACGATGACGTAGGAGAAAATATAGCGGCAATTTTTAACCATTCTTTTGAATTCTGGAATATCAGATAACAAAGTCTGGTATTTACTAAGTTGATGGAGGAAAACATCCCAAGAAAAATTTAAATTTTTTACACTGAAAGTATAAAAAATTAGTTTTATACAATTTGTTTTTTTACCTGTAGTTTGGGTGTTAAAAGAATAAATAAATAAATATTGGTCAAGTTGCTCATTTGCTGAACCCCGTAAAAACCTAACACTTTTTAATAATGTACCTAACAATGCATTTTTAATACTGAGACAGGAGAATAATTAACTAAGATTTGAAGCCGAAAGAGAGTAATTTCTTTAATTCATCTTCCACCTATAAATTAATAAATTCCACCTATAAATTAGAGAGGAGTTTAAAAATACCAAAACACTATAACGAATTTTTTGAATAATTCTACATTTATTTAATATAAATGAAAATAAGCATTTTAAAAATGGAATAAAATTTTAAGCAACTATATGTAACTGAATTTGAAGTTAAGGCCGTTTTCCACAAGACGAAATATTAGCGCGAGGCGGATTTTTTCGTCGATAAGCATGTGCAGATAAAACATTTCTGGCAATTAAGCTGATAGAGAGTTTCGTTACAGCGAAAAAAACGTCTGATTCATTTCGACTTCTTGCGTCATAATCGCCATAAGCGAAAACCAATCAAGTTTTGAATATTATACCACGTAATGTCAGCAGTAAAAAAAGCAAAAGCACGTTGTTTTTAAAGTGGCAAAAAACAAAATTTTTAACCTGGCGTTCTTATTGATTGTATATAAACTTACTCTGAAAATTGGCAAGCATTAGTCAATTCATCTAATAAGGAGCAAGTAAATCGAGAATTTACAAATGTAAATTTGCACACTGTCAATTGCGAAAGATACACTTCATAAGAATGTTTATCTACAAGTGGCCAAACGAAGATAAACCTTTTTGTGAAAAACCCTACATAGATTTAAACCTGTTGTTAGTTCTTGCAGTAACAGTTTTTTTAACAGAAATGTTCATATGAATGGGGCTTGATGATAAGACTGCAGTTTTCTACTTGCTCCTGTCATTTTTTTAATTTTTATCTTATTTATAAATGTATGTATGTAAAATATATAGTGACGAAATAAATTAAAAAAAAATTTACTTCCTCATACTTTTATAAAAAACCTTATATTGAATTATTATATTACAAAATGATATCACATCTTACCTACAAAGACAGAAATGTTAAAATTAATGCATGGAAAGAAATTTCTACATGTTTCAAACTACTTAGTATGCTAAAAAAATAATAATTGCTTTTAATTAAACATACAGCGTAAACTTATTGCTGCCATTTTTATTGTTAACAACAACAACAAAAAGTCAAAACGGCGTATCGAAAAAATTCACTTCGCACGAATATTTTGTTTTGTGGAAAACGGTCTTTACTGTACCACAACAGTTAAAGAGATTGGAAGCAGTAATGGGGTATTAATTGCAATTTGTTGTTTGTGATAGACAACCTTATGGAGTGACAAAGCTTTTCACAAAAGTTAATGTGAAGTTATTATAAGTCTTTATTATTTGCATAAAAGTTTTATAGAAACCAATAAACTAAATAGAAAATAAAAAGTGAAAATAAACAAAAATTCAATCCTTTATATAATGAAGAAAAGGTCTTTGATAGCTGTAACTGGGATATACTATTTGAAAAATTATATTTTTTAAAAAGTTACCATTCTGTAAATTTAACACTATCTCTCGTTATACAACAATAGTAGTGCATCAGTTTCGTGTCAAGGTTGCAAATCAAGTTCTTTCCGTTTAAAGCAAGGGGTAAGAAAAGATTTTCTCAAAAACTTGTTTACTTTATAAATTAATCAGCTACTCTAGTGTGTTTGTATTTTGTATGAGAATACATTTTTATTAAACTAAAAACAAAAATTATTTTAATTTGTTTTTATTTTTTTATTAAAATTAAAAATATTATTTTAACTTTTTTGTTTTAGGTGCACCAAAACAGAGCAAGTTATAATAGTAAAATAGCGCCACGGTTGGCTGTTATACTATTATACTAAAAAACAGAAGTTCTAATTATTTGGTGTCTAATTTGGTTCTTAAGTGGTATATAAATGATCAGTGAAATTAAAGAAATGTAAGCAGTTTCATATTGGCCAGTGAAAATCAAGGAAACAACTAATAATAATATTTGATTACACCGATTTTCCTTTGATTTTATAAAATTACTCTATTATAAAGTTATTTGAAAAGTTGAATAAAGAATAAACTTAACCATCTATAACGAACTCTCCGTTTTTTGTCATTTGAGTTAAGTCCCCCGTTGAATTCTTTAGATGAATATCTAAACTTCCCTGGTCAAACGACCATGATCCAAATATGAGAGGGCAAGTTTGGACATCAAATGGAAAGTATGTCATTTCAAGCTTGCAAGAAACTCTGAAAATAAAAAAAGTAATTAAAAGGTAACATAAAAAAATTTTATAAAAAAATTATTGTGACATAATAAAAAATTAGAATTAATAAACAAAAGTGTTAGCAACGTATCAAATTTTTAACAAAAGATTATAATAATAATACAATATATGTATGTATGTATGTATGTATGTATGTATGTATGTATGTATGTATGTATGTATGTATGTATGTATGTATGTATGTATGTATGTATGTATGTATGTATGTATGTATGTATGTATGTATGTATGTTGTATGTTTATACTTGACAATCGGCAAATTTCGGAAAACTAGGACCTCTTTTTTTTAGATAAGTTAATAGGCAAAAATTATTTTTTTTGGCTTTAGTCGGACACGTTAGCCCCCCCCTCCTCCTTTAAAATCTCTTCGGAACGGCCCTGTTTATAAGTATATATATATATATATATATATATATATATATATATATATATATATATATATATATATATATATATATATATTTACTGTTTTTCTTTTAAGAAATATATCATTAGATCATTTTAAAAAAATAAAAAGGCAGAGCTTGATTTTAATGTGGTATTTATGTATGGATGACACATTTAGATTTGACTTTATTGATGTTGAAAATTTAGTTGTTGTTCTGATGTCAAATTAATATTGAAGGAATGTTGAGATTTTTTTTAAAACTATTAGGATAAATTTTATACATATTATCTAAGCACCTGCCAAATTTCAGATATTTAGTTGCAGATACCATAAAAAGTGTCTCACATTTGGTATCTAAAATCTTTTTTTTTCAAATTTTGTATTGGGGAAAGGAATGGTATTAGATTGAGAATCTTGTGTGACTAGTTTAGACCAAAGACAGGCGTAGCAACCAAATGGGCAGCAGGGACATTTGCCCCCCCCCCTCCTAATAATTTTTCAAATAAATAATTTTGAAGAAATTAACTGAAAAAATGGCTAAAAAAAACAGGTCCTTAAAAGTATTTCGGAGTAGTACTGTCCCCTTAATACAATATAAATTTTGTTCCTACGGCCCTTTATAATCATATTAATAATATTGTAAATTTTAATATTATCATTGTATTTTATGTTATAAAATTTTGTATTTAATATTATAAAACTTAATATTATAAAACATTTTAATTATTAAATTTAATAAATATCTATTATTAGTAATAATGTATTTGTAATACATTATTTAACAACCATTATTAAATAACGTACATTACTAAAATACATTATTATAATGTAATGCTTTATTTATTACATTATTATACATTATTACTAATAATTTATTAGTAATAATGGATCCATTATTAATTATAAACTATTTAATGGTGAAATATGATATAGTTTATGGTTCATTGTAATTATAATTTACAATTGTAATGTTGTTTGATAATAAAAATAAGTTTATAAATTGTATTAATTCTACTAATATTAATAATAGTATTATTAGTGATAATATTGTTAATGATAATATAATAACAATATTCTTAAAGTTATTTAATTAATATTTGAATTCATTTTACAAAATAAAATAAATTTAATTATTATTATATATATATATATATATATATATATATATATATATATATATATATATATATATATATATATATATATATATATATATATATATATATATATATATATATATATATATATATATATATATATATATATTTAGTTGAAGGTATTGTAAACCAAATGCTGCGTAAGTGATTTTTTTAGCTCTATCATTTGTAGATATTTGTAGGTATTTAAAAAAGACCTGCAAACGCCAAATATTAGATGAAAAAGAAAAAAAGAAAGTTAAAACAAAAACTGAAACGACTGACTTTCAGTCAAATAAAGAATATGTATAAACAATTGACTACAAAACAACTTGATAACTTAGATGATGTTAGGTCTTAGAGAACTGCTGATAGAAAGTTATCCCATGTGTGGTATGATACTAAACAATCTAAGTCTGTCATGTATGATGAAAGTTAAATTTTGACCACAGTTTCTTCAACAAATCCATATATTGAAAAATCGATATGTAAAACGTCTTAACTTTTGGTAGGTATGTTGGATTTTGACAATTTTTTCACCTTAAAAATTCTGTATTGAAGCCCTTTCTAATGATATATAATCTAGTGCATAATCAGTTTAAAAATTTCATGTCACATTCCTTTATATATATATATGTATATGTATATATATATATATATATATATATATATATATATATATATATATATATATATATATATATATATATATATATATATATATATATATATATATATATATATATATATATATATATATATATATATATAATACATATATATATATATATATATATATATATATATATATATATATATATATATATATATATATATATATATATATATATATATATATATATATATATATATATATATATATATATATATATATATATATAGATATATATATTTATTTATTACCAGGAACATGAAAATACTTTTGATCAAAAACAAATTACTCATGTATTTAAACTTGCATTACTACATACATTATGTTTTAATTATTTTAGAGTTATATTCAAAAGATTCTTATTACTTACTTAAAAAAAAAGCAACAAATTTAAAAAAATCACACCGTAATACAGATGGTATAAACCACACAATTTCGCCATTATTATAAACTGTAATTTTTGTTTTGCCATACTGATCAAAGCCTTGGAAATTATTTTCAGCGCTAAAAACAATTTACAAACAATATATTAGATTATAACAAACAATATATTAGAGTTTATAAAAAACAATATACAAACAGTATATTATATTATAAATTAGATTATATATATTTTATATAATAATATATTAGATTATAAATTTGAGTTTCATATTTTTTATATATTAAACCTCAGTGTTTAATTATTATTAAACACAACTTTTAATTACATTATAAGTTCCAAAAAAAAGCAGTCATTGTTGGTTTTTCTTTTTCAAACACACTGACAATTCTAGTATACTAATCTTGCATAAAGTAAAATGCTGGTGGTATAAAAATCGATAAACCTTGGGCCGACATTGATATAGATATGCTTTACTTAGATAATAATACGCTGAGCCGCTGTTAGATCCATTAGCGGCGCTTCCCAGTAAACGAATGTTTGTTAATACTTTTTTTTACAAAATGGAATTGTAAACTTTATAGTTTTTAAAGTTTAAGATTTAAAATTATTGCCTTTATATTCTTTTAAAACGTTTAAATAAATTTTTGTCATATACCGTCCACAAACCCACTAATCTCTGCCTCATTGTTAGGTCAAACTGAGTTAAGATTAGTTAAAAAAGACCAAATCGATTTAAAAAATACCTTGTGCAAATTTCATAAGAATTTTTTTTCTATTGACTTTACTTATTTAAATCATTTTTAACATGTAGATTATATTTAAATATTATTTAGACAAAAAAAAATTCAAAAAAAAATCTACGTAGCAAAAAATAAGTAGATCTTTAATGTTTTTATATTGTTTTTATTCAAATACTAAATATTTATATATAAAATTAAAATAAAAATTAAAATGCTTTAAATACTTGTAAAATATTATGAATACTTGTTATAAAGAGTCAAGTCAGGTTTCCAAATTTTGTCTGGAGAGATTGTCACACTATTTATGCCCGACCATTCAGTCGCATTCCAAATCATAAACGGGTCATGCCAGAACTAAAGAACGAAGATTATTTTAATCACGTTGATAAACTTTGATAAAACATTTGCTATTACTATAGTAATGTATAATACTACTACTATACTATATTATAATATTACTCTAATATATGTAAAATATATAGAATGTTTTTGTCAAATTGCTGCTTAAACAGTAAATAGCTCTATTAACTCTTTTGCACCGAAACGGGTCGTTGACAACCCTGTAGTAATAAATCAATAGTTAAAGGTTTTTTTTAAAAGAGCCATTGATCAAAACTACTTTTATTTTATGCTTTAAAGGATAACTTTATGCTCAGCTTCAAAATTAGCCGTAATAAACTAACTTTTAAAGTTCCATAATAGAAATAAGGGGTCCGTAAATTACGTCACACTTTAGGGATGTGGGGGGGGGGGGAGCAGGGAAGGAGCGGGGATGTTGGTAGTTTATTGCCAACTCATACGTAACTTGTTACTAAAGAGCTACTTCCTTTTATTGGGCAGTTTTGTTTGTTTATGCAATTGCATGGTGGGTTTTCATCTGAATTTTTAGATATAATTTTTTTGTTGTGGCATTTTATTATTTTGTCAATATTTTTGATGCAGCTATAACTCTATTTAGAGGATGGGGTATTGGAAAATGTTTGTCGATTAATATTAGGAAAATATATCCAACATTGGCAGAAAAGCTTTTACTGTAGGGAAGGGAGGGGAGGAGGTAAATCATGTTATTTTTATTTTTCTTAAGGGTTTGTTCTTTTTTTTATTTTTTTGGGGAGGAGGGGGGCTATATCTATATATTAAAATCAGTGAAACCGTTTGTTCTACACTTTTTTGTATATAAGATAAGATAAAGTTGTTTTCGTTTGAAAAGTTATGTGATAATCTGTTGCTAATTGAGGTTGGGATGTACTTAAAGATTTAAGGAGAGTAGTTAAAATCAGCGTGGATGTAATGTGGCGTTCAAAAGGGTGGAACAGATATTTTGTTGGTTATAAGATACATCTAAGAAGTTGACATGCTAGTAGGTTTGTTTTTATGACTATATATATATATATATATATATATATATATATATATATATATATATATATATATATATATATATATATATATATATATATATATATATATATACATATATATATTATATATATATATATATATATATATATATATATATATATATATATATATATATATATATATATAAAAGTGTAAATAATATATTGTATATATATTGTATATAAATATAATATTTTGTTTCCATATATTATAGATACACTTATATTTATATAAAATGTATGTATATATATATATATATATATATATATATATATATATATATATATATATATATATATACATACATATATATTGTATATTTATTAGTTATATATATAGTATATATAGTATCTCTCTCTCATTCTCTTTCTGTCTCTTTCTATATATATATATGTATATATATATATATATATATATATATATATATATATATATATATATATATATATATATATATATATATATATATATATATATACATATATATATATATATACATATATATATATATATATATATATATATATATATATATATATATATATATATATACATATATATATATATATGTATATATATATATATATATATATATATATATATATATATATATATATATATATATATATATATATATATATATATATATATATATATATATATATATATATATATATATATATATATATATATATTTCACAAAAATATATTTTACAAAAATCAACATTATCTACAAGCTTAATAATATACTCAAGTTTATAATATGAACTTGAGTCATAAAAGTAAAAGTAAGTCTTTAAAGTTACTTCTCCATCAAGATTATTGTCAAGAGCATCTACTATGTTAAGCTTTGAGTCATTTAAGTATTTAATTAAGTTATTTTCTCGACCAAGATTATAACCTCTTAAATGTTATAACTTTTATTATTGTACACCTAAAAAGAATTCTTAGCTGAAAAAAAGGGATGTGGTTAAGATAGACTTTTCATGTACATCTGCTACACATTGGCGGATTGATATTTAGCGTCATAGGGGAGGGGGTAGGTAATGAGAAAGAGGTTATAAAGGTTCAGGGTGGCACTTTATTCCCAGAAACTTTTTTCAAAAATCCCACTTGAGATATTTTTATCGATGCTTTTATGTGCTTCTTATTATAACTAACAAGTACGTCTAAAACACTAAGCAATATAAAATCTCAGTTTGCTAAGTTGACTTTGATTAACAAATATTGTTAGAAAAAAAGAATATTTAATAATATTAAATACTATTGCAATTGTTCGAGTATTTAAAAATAAATTTTTACTAAACATATTACTGAAAACAAGAATTGCATCGTACTGACTTGTGACGTCTATAACACGTTGTGTAGATGTCTAAAGTACGTCTGCTGGGTCGAAGCAAAATGATTTATTGACAATTCAAAGTCAATGCTCTCAGAAAGCTCAAGTTCAATTAAAATGAATGCCTATCCAAAAAGACATTCCTTGTCATTTTTGATCACGGATAATATTTAGTTTACTAAAACTTCTCTTACCATAAGCAGATTTAACAGAAAGAGTCGAGATCAGTTATTTTACAATTTTTTTTGTTTTTTTTTCATTAATAATAAAAGTTGTTTACCGTTTGCAAATTAGTTACAATAGATTTGATACACCGAACTACGTTAAAAATGCATTGACTCTGTACATAATTGTATGATACATATGATTATAGGAGATATTTTCTTAAAACAAAACTTCTTAAAAAAACGTGTTCGTTTTTTTTTTACCATAAATGCGGGCAAATTTGTAAAGCAGGTATGTAAACGATGGTTTGCTGTAAACCTAGTTTTCTATTTCCGTTTAAAATAAACGCAGAATTTGTAATGAGAAAATTATATTTTAGGGAGCGCCAGTTGACCGTTGCTTTGAGGGCGCGAGGGGTAGCTTGCCCTCTCAGCCAAACTCTAACTAAAGGCTAAAAAAACCCTTTAAAGTTTATTTCATTTTAATTTTTTTTTCGAAACAAAAACAAATGCAAAGTTTTAAAAATTATATATGCAGGTGTTTACTAGGTAAAGTTCAAACTATTTATTTTGTTAAATAATATATCTACGAACTATAAAAGAGTTTTATAATTTGGAGAAATACTAATTAGTCAAATTGATTAAAGAGTGTGAAGATATCGAAAGTTCTTCTTTCTCATTATAAGGTCGAGTATGTTTTCAAAACGCATTTTTTACATTCTTATATAAATATTCTTATTATTAAACTAAACACTTTTTAGTCGTTTATACTAAATTGTTGAATGCCGTACGCAACCTTTCATCTTCAAAATACAAACACCTGAAAATAAGACCGCTATATGGGAAAATTCAAACACCTAAAAATAAGACCGCTATATGGGAAAATACAAACACCTAAAAATAAGACCGCTATATGGAAAAATACAATTTTGATTAATCGTTTGTATAAACTCATTTTTTATTTCTTCGTTTTAAAGAGAATAATTCTCTTTTTCAAAAATTTCAGCTTTATCAATTATTGATAAAGCTGAAATTTTTGAATAAAAAACAAAACGTAGTGATTGATTTAATCACTTATTGCGCTTAATTTAGAAAGTTAGCAATTTTATGTATTTCAAACAATGTTGATAAGGCTTCAATATTTGATTCTTAACAAAACGAAATATTTGATTTGATCAGATATTACGTTTGTTTTAGAAAGGCGGCAGTTTCGCATACTTCAAAAAATAATCAATAATTTTCATTCTGTTAAGTAGAGAAATAGAAGGCCTTTTTAATAATTTACTGTTTTCAAAGATTTATTTAAAGGTTTTTTTGTAAACGTCTATAATTATCTCCATCGCTATCTAAGAATTTTAATCTCTTAGACACTTTGGGTTATTCAAGGGAATTTTAAATTCTAAATTATACAGTAATATTTATTTACCATTCGAATCCATGCAACAACCATTAGTATCTCAACTTTTTCATCCTAAAATATAAAGTATAAAATAAATATATAGTAATAAAATATAAAGCAATACTTTGAAAATATTGTATAATTAAAATATTTTATTTCTTTTTGGATTTAAATACCATAATATTTCGATTATAACTATAAAAATAAATTAACATAAATTAACATAGTAAATGAAAAGAAAATTGTTTAAATAGATTTATTGCAAATTTTAACATAATACTATTTAGTTTAGTTTTGTGTGAAATTAATTAAATTTAAGTTATTATCTTGAATACCTAAAAATGTTTTTTAGAATAGATTAAATATTTTAGAATAGATTACATAATTTAGAATAGATTACATATTTTAGAATAGATTACATAATTTAATGAATTAGCGATAGAAATTTAAAATAATCAAACAAAAAGTAAATAACTTAAAACAAAAAAAAAAGATTTTAATTTGGAAAAATTAGTTAACGTAACGATAGATTTTAAAAATAAATCTGGTTGTTGCGAGTAATCAAAAAATTTAGAAGTCAGGGTTAGGGTTATATTTTAAATAAATTAAAAATATTTTAAACTTATTACTTTAAACATTATAATATAATTTGAATTTTATAAAAAATATATTTAAGGAACTAATAATATTTCTGCTATTATCATTTTCTTAAATATATTTGAAATATTTTAAGATAATTCTATTATTATACTTTTTATTAATATAATTAAGAAAATATATAAATTTAAAGAAAAAATTGATTTTTTTTTTTACCAATTCCAAAAGTTGATGCAATGCAATATCAAATGTCATATTTACAGGTTGTCCAGGATGTCTTGGCAATGCATCTGAATGTTCTGCCCTAATAAGATTTTTTATCAACTCAACTTCGTCCCGTGTGTTTTCTAGACAAGGTTAAATTAGGAAAACATTACATGTAATAGATATTCATCGCTTTTTTTAAACAAAATGTCGTAAATATTGTCGACTTCTGTTAATATGTAACTATCTATGAAAAAAAGAAAAAAACAAATCAAAAAATTCACCAGCATTTGTGATCGCCACAACAGTTAATAAATAAATATACAAAATCATTTTCAAAATCACTTCAAGCTCTTCCAGTTATTTTTTAACTTTTCTGTAAAAAGATTTTTTGATTGTTGTTAAGTTTCTTATGTCATTTTAAATTCAAGTCCTAAAAAATTTAAAAAACGTTTTTATGATATAAACATAAAATAATCAATATATTTTTGACAGAAGATTCAGTCAATACATTTTTGACATATTTCGATATAAGATAATACAATCGAGTTCATTGACAAATAATAACTATTATTTATATAACACAAAACAACAATAATAATAACAATAATAAGTTAATAATTATAGAAGTAATAAGATAATTATATAATAATAAATCAATATTAATTTTAAAATATTAATTGAATAATATGCACAGACAGGAACGTTAAATAGTGACAAAACATAACAACTTACTATGAAATAAAAACAACAATTGAAAAAAACTAACAATTATTTAACTAGTATTATTCTAAATATATCAATATTCATGTCTATAAATATATCATTAAAAAATAATAAAAAATAAACAGAGTATATTTACGACACTCACAAATAAAAACGTGTCACACACAAATATTTAGTCATAAAAACAATAAAACTGTCTATAAATATATCATTAATAAATAACAATAAATAAACAGAAAAAATTTACAACATTCACAAATAAAAACGTGTCACACTCACACACGCACACATATTTAGTCATAAAAAAATACAAAGTGTTCATAATAAATGAAAATATTCATTATAAATGAAAATACTCAAGTTAAAAAGTAAATCATATATTACTCAGAAAACATTTCCACAAATTTACGTTAAAAAAATGACGAAAAAACTGTTATTAATAATATTAATAGCAATATCTATGTATAGTATACAAAATATAATTAGGCAATTTAAATATACTAATAACTAAGAAAGCGAATGTTGGATTTTACGTCTACAGTTGACTCTCGACATCGAACGTTTACAGTTGACAGTCGAACTCTCAGGTGACAGGGAAAAAAAGTCGAGATATCGAGGTGTCAAAAAGAATTTGCTTCAAACGAGTGCGCAAGGAACCGGGAAAAAAGTTCGAGATAGATAAATGTTCGAGATATCGAGTAGTCGAGATATCGAGAGTCAACTGTATAACGAAAAATCAATCAGTCAAATTAAAGGTAAATATTGGTACTGATAAAGAAATAATTAAAGTACATAACTAGTTATTTGACATCGTCAAAAATTAAAAAAAAATAATTAACGAAATTTCTAATTACCAAAATACTAATACATTCGAGATGTTTCATAATTACTTACAATTTGTCTAAGTTTAACGAAAAACACATCTGTTTAAACTAAAAATAATTAGCGAACAAGAATCTTTTACTTTATGCGTTAAAACTTTATCAAATGAATTAAACTCTTTGCAGATATAGACAAATGAATCCAGCTCAAAAAGAATTTCTTTGTTTACGAAGTTAATAAACTGAGAAACTCTTTTTCTTGTTAGTTTATAATTAGACTAAACAAAATTGCCTAAATAATCCAATAGAGAATTAGTAAGCTTTAGTTAAAAGACGGATGCTAACAATGACGGGCGTTTTATTTGTTAATCGCTAAGCGATTATGCGATTGTTGTGAAATAATTTAATGCTTGAATAATACATATAATAAAGCATGTATTTTGCTATATCTTTAAACAATACAAACTAATATTATCATTGTTCACATTAATTTGCAATCAGTATCATTTATGTTTTATAACGGCATACTAAAGTATAAAACATGATTATTAATATATGAAACATGTGTTACAAATAACAATATGATAAACTACAAAAGATTTTACTTTTAAAAATTATTGTAAAAAAACAATCTAATACATATTAACAAGAATATTCATAACTAAAACAATTATGTTTGCAATAAATCTTTAATGAACAAATTTAATAAATCTCACTATCCTAAAGTCCTGAAGTTGAATAAAAACTATAGTTTAAATTAACATATAATTATATGATATAAATATATGTATGATATAACGCCAAGAGTTTCTTGATTTTTTATTTTGATCATTTCTGAATTAACTGAGTAAATCTTTTAAATTAAAAATCAATAATTTTTTAACAAACAGTTGTTAGAAAGCAAAAAATAAAAGTAAGTGGAAGGTTACACAAAAAGTCCATTAAAGTATTTTAAATAACTTTAGAGAGAGAGAGCGGAGACCCTCCCCATTCTATTGTAAAAAATTAAATTTTAAAATATATATTTTTTTTATCTTAATATTTATTATAGTTTATTTCAATTTAAATTTCGAAACAACGGGTGTTCAATAAAAATCCGTATAATTTGTAAATTGGAGTTACTCTCAAATTTTTTAAGCAACAAATTAAACAGAAATGTATTTATATTGAGTATTTATTTCTTTGGTAGTTTAAATATTAATTTTTTTTTTTTAATTTTTTTTTTTTATTTGATTTTTTTTCTATAAAGTTTTTCTAATTTGAGGACAAATTGACATGGTTAGGTCTTTTACGAGGTTCTGGTCATGTTTCTTGAGACAGGAATTTATCCTAACACAAAGTTGTTTCAGATTTGTGGCCTGCCAGTTTTTTTCATAGGCTATCCTTTTAAAATACTCCAAATATTTTTATTTGAACAATATTCTGATATGTTTTGCGGGTTATAAATTTTTATCGCATAATTTAAAAAATTATTTTCAAAGAATAACGTTAATGTCTTAATATCTGTCTTAATCTCATTATTACTTTTATCTTAATGCAATGAAGTGAGATTACTGTTTTGTCTTAATGCAATAAAGCGAGGTTACTGTTTTGTCTTAATACAATTAAGGGAGATTACTGTTTTGTCTTAATGCAATGAAGCGAGGTTACTGTTTTGTCTTAATGCAATGAAGCGAAGTTAATGTTTTGTCTTAAAGCAATGAAACTAGGTCAAAATAAGTATGATTCATCACTATGATATTAATTTTGCTAGAAATACACAACCAGAGTGTATACACACATACACACACACACACACTCACACACACACACACACACACACACACACACACACACACACACATATATGTATATATCTGTGGCCATCGGTCAGTTTAAGATAATTTCAAAATTGGTCATTTTGAGATAAGTATGCAGTTTTGTTATATTTCGTTAGATCATTAATTTGGTCAAACTATGATTGTTGTAGTTTTAAAAATAATAACTTACTTTTATAAAAATTAATTTATTTTACATTATTACCCAATTTATGGTAACAAATTCAAATTTTAAAACTCTTCTCCTGCAAAATGTCATATTTGTACTTATCATAAATTGACCAATGGCCAAAGATATATATATATATATATATATATATATATATATATATATATATATATATATATATATATATATATATATATATATATATATATATATATATATATATATATATATATATATATATATATATATATATATATATATATATATTAAATTAACAAGCACTATACAATTATAACGTTAAATATTCACAGCCCCTGTAACATTTTAACGTTAACATAGTTTTACTGCGAGGTAAGATTTCCGCGCAACAAACTTTTAACAAAGTTTTTTTAAAAATTATAAATAAAAATAATGAATAAAAAAATTGTAATTAATATGTCGTTGTGAAAGTATAAATTAAAAAAAAATTATGCTTTATCAGTACGCCACCGAGAATTGATTTTCCATTTTTTGTGTTTCCGAGGTTTAGAATTTACTATGTACTTTCTGCTAGAAAGTTATATTGATTATTTAAATATTTCTAAAAGTTCTAATATTTTTTGAGACCAGATTTAGTAAACGCACACTAGTTGACGAGTAGTTGTTGGTAATAAATAGAAAAAACACAAAATCTGGTCATACAGTCTCTTAGTTCTCAGCTGACAAGTATAAAATTTATTTTCTATTCTTTATATGTTACGGATTTATAAAATACATCTCAAATTTTTTTTTTATTAAATGATGTGTACTTACTTGATTTATGATATTTCAAAACTGTTTTAGCAGTCCGTTTTTCTCTGGATCCCCAAACACATTTCATAACAAGTTATAACAAAATAAAAAACAACAATACTTGATCAGAAAACGGTGTTTACGGTTGGCTAAAAAATAATGAGCAACTTTTCTTAAAATTTATAAAAAAAGTCAGACATTATGAAAAGTCCATGGTGTTAAACTATATATGGCGTTAAACTGTTTTTCAGGCCAATTAATCTTTTGCATTGCAACATTTACGTTTCTCGAAATAATGCTTGATGTGTTTCAGTTGGACTACTCAGTTGTCGAAGCCACGCAGAGTGTACGTGATTTTTTATTATACGAATAATAATATGTATTGTATTGCTAAAATCAATATTTTTTTTTTTACATTTTTACCATTTTTTTTAATATTAAGTGTTTTTAATTATTTTGAAATAAAAAACTTGTAGATTTGCAAAACAGTTTTAAAGAAACATCGTTAAAATTGATTTTGTTTCATTTCAGATTTCACACCACAGGATTTTTTTTAGGGGGTTTAACAGATAAACCTTATCAAAGATAAGGTTTATCTGTTATCAATTTAAACATTAATATAAACATTACGCATCAATTTAAACATTTACGCTCGCTAAACAAATTCTACATCTGTCTTCTTTAATTTGTACTTTTAATAAAATATACTGTTAAAAGATATTGTTTTTTTAATCAGGCAGAGTGTGACACATTTTTTGAAACGCTGTGTATATAGAACTGAATAATAATGTATAAATCAACAACAACACTACACATTTTTTAATTAATGCATTAATTTTCATTAATTTAAAAGTTAAAAGTTTTTTTAAAGATACCTATGTCTACAAAATACATTTCAAAAAAGCTTATTTCGTGAGAATCAAATTTGCGATTTGATAAATAGATTTGATAATGTTCAGTTTAATGATGTAAAAAATGAATTTAGTGAGAATAATCACAATAATAAACTTTTAAGCTTTAAAAGTTAAAATGACTGTTAACGAATGTTAAAGGGGAATGGGGAGCAGTATCTTAATCTGGCACTGAAAAAACTAGGCAGTACATAATAATTATACCTATTATATTATTGTTAATAAACTAACCACTAAAATTAAAGCTTTAATTAAATAGAATGATACTATTAAATAAATGTATTACCCGACTAAATCGACCTTTAGTCGATTAGTAGAAAATCCAAAGTCGATTAAATCGACTATTAGATTTTTTAAAGTTGACTATTTTCGACTTTCGACTAGTCAACTTTTAGTCGATTTATTCGAAATCGATTACAACACCAAGAAAAACGCTTTTTTTTAAAGGAAAATAGCATTGAAGTAAAATCATTCTTTCATTAGAAGTTTCAAAAAAAATTATTAGAAGTTCCAAACTTTTACAGATTCGAAATAAATCTGGCCTAATCTCATAAGTCTTAACCCATCAATCATCGCTCTTGTCACTAGAACTAGTGCTACTATTAGGATTACTATCAGTTCAACCTCTTCTTCTTCTCTTTCCTCCCTGGCATGTGGAAAATTCTACTCATTATCATCAATTACATTTTTTTCTATAACTAAAGGAAATATATATGTTTGAGTTCATGTAGAACCAAAAAAATAAAACAAATTATTTAAATATAATATGAAGTAATATCTTATACCTTTGTTTTTCTTCTTTCTTTTTTTTGTATGTTGAGATGCTTCACTTTCTTTGACTTCAAAAGGGTCATCAAGAGCATTATTTGCATCAAGATCTTCATAGGCCTCTACCTCAGGATCTTGGAGCTCTGAGATCCATTCATCGCCAGAGTATACATCATCCAAACAAAGGGGATCTTCAATTGTTCAAATCATTGAGTTTCGCTTGCTTCAAGCAATTTCTTCTCTTTGTATGCACCTGTTCATTAAAATACTAACGCTCAGTAAGATGAAAATCGAAAAACATATAAAACCAAAAACTTTATATTATTACTTAATTGAAGTAGCTCCAATTCCGTTTACATCTAGAAGCACTAGAACTCAAGCTCAAGAATTTTATGGCAAATTTTGCAAGTTCAAGCGTTTGATCTCTAAAAGCTCTCCACCAATCCGCTGAAAATAGTAATATTATTTTATTAAATTGATAGAAAAAAAATATCGTTGAGATGTGACCCATATCGGGTCCATCCTCTAGTTTATCAAAAAAATAAAAATAAAAGATATTATTACGAATATAATAAAAATAGTAAAAACACACACTTGGACTTCTCTTCTTCCTTGTGCTTACTGCATTTACCCGTCCAAATAAACCTTGTGCATTTTGAAAAGAATCAATCTGCAAATCCACTTTCTCCCTTTCTTCTAAATCACCAATTAATTGCTCCATGCAAGAATAAAGTCCCAATATAATCTCATGATGAGTAGAGAATGAAAGTTCATATTGGTAATGAAAATTTAAAAAATATACAGCAGCATGCAAATGCGTGTGAAGCTGACAATTCTACCGAC